CAAAACACTGCCATCTTCCAACCCAATTGGTCCCCATTTCTGAGGGGGAAGGGGCTGCAAAACGCGGTCAACAACATCGTCCATCCATCGTTGCCAGCAGCTGTTTCCTATTTCTTGCTCGCCTTTCGCGAGTTTTTTCTTTTCTTCGCCTGGAAGAGGAACGCCCGGGGGTCCTCTTGGGGGAGGGTTGTGTTTCAATGTTCCGAGTGGATACTATTTCCGCATGCCATGGAAGGAGGAATGGGGGAGGGGCTATTTTTAGGTTTTTATACTGCAACCTCGAGCTCAAGACCTCGCTACACAACGCCTTTCATTCTGACTTCAGTGGTCCTTTAAACGGCTAAAGACGTCTGAAAAACAAATCAAGCTTTAGGGAAATAAGAGATCAAGTCATTTCCTAGTGGTCTGAGGTTAATTTCCGCCAATCAAAAACAAATCGGCCATACGCCTTTAATTGACACTTCCCCATACGTTTCAACGTCTTTGAAACGCTCAAAAACCAACCCTCTTATCAACGTTTCCAAGAAGAAGCCCAATTCTGAGCCCTCTTCCTCCCTTTCTCACTCTCTCTCTCTCTCTCTCTCTCTCTCTCTCTCTCTCTCTCTCTTTCCCACCTGTCCTTCCCAGAATTGGTCCCAAAAAATGAATGACATCTTGCGTGACCCTCCCCCAAAAAATGACAACAAAAACACGGGGCCCCCCACTCGGAATGGCCCTTCCGATGACTGCCAATTAGGGCCAACCAACCCCCCTGACCACATTCTCTCCATTTACCTCCCGCTTTTTCTTCAGGGGAGCTCAAGATAAAAATGTAGGGGGGGGGGGGCGACAAATAAAAAAGACAACGGTTGCGTGGGGACCACGCTGCCGCCGGCCTGGCTGGGGAACATGTTTTTCGGCGTCTGGCCGACAATTGGGGGATTTTAGGGCACGGTAATTGCCTGTGGATGTTGGAATTGGGCTGTGAAATGAATGGAAATAATCTGGATGTGAAGATTTAGGCCGGAAACATGAGGCCATGCATTAAAGGGATATTGCCTGGAAAAACTTCCGCATTCTCTGGATCAAAAAAACATTTCAATCCTTTTCAAACCAATAAACCCTGCCGCGGCTCTGACTATAAAGTGGCCACAACTCTCGTGAATGACGCCTTGAGAACGGATGGAAATTGGAGAACACGGAGAGGTTTATCCTTTCTCTCATTGACGCTCTCTCTCTCTCTCTCTCTCTCACTCTCGCCCACGACAATTTCGGCTTTCCGGCTGAAAGGAAAAGAGGGGAAATCCCCATTAAGGAGAAGGCAGCGCGGGGAGTCGGATTTATTTACGGGATGGCACCCCCAGATGACGAAGGCTTCGTGTGTCTTTGCCATTGGAATGGAATGCCAAAGCCGATTAGGTGGGGGGGGCATAGTTATGATGTGGCTTTCAAGGAATGCAGAAAATTTGGGCGTATGTTCCGAAGAAGCACAGGAGGGTGGTACATCAATGAGGGTAATTTGGCAATATTCAACGTGCTTAGAGAGCTTTTCGAGTAGCGAAAGCGTTTAGATTGACTTCTCGGTGAAATCTTCCTTTTAAGTCGTTTTTGGTAAATCGGCTTGATCATCGGTCAGGAGAATTTTGCCTTCCCAATCCCTTTAAAACTGCAAATCTGCTCGTCACAATCTTTGGTTGCCTGACATTTCCCCTTGCCTCTGCAGCTCCCATTGTTTGGTCTTCCTCCTCCACACGTCGGTGTCCTTAAAGGCAACGGATAATCCCCCTTTTTTCTGCCCCCAAATAATGAACCCCGAATATATGTATGCCGTCGGTTGGGCGTCAACCCGAGAGGCTTATCCCGGCTGCCGACCGATCTTTTTCTTCAAGACAATGTCGGCGCTCCTGTCCCCCAAATTAGCGGATTAGAGGAGGCAACCCCCACGCGAGATATCACCCAAAATATGTCACGGTGGATATTGAAGATTATCCTGCAAATGACTGAAATGAAAGTAGGGATTTTTGTCAACTATTTTTTATCCCACGTTCGTTTCAAAATGAAATGAAACAGAACTTGGTATCCCCCCAAGCGATCCATCTCATCCATTTGGATCCATCTTTGACTGCCATTCCGTTCTTCTCCATCCCTTTTGCGATACGAGACACGAAAAATGGCTTCCGGTGGGCCTCTCCTATCCCTCCAACGAATCCCCCGCACTGATGGATGTCCGTGTTTTTCGCACGTCCCGAATTTTTCAGATGCAAAGTGCCGACGGGATTGATAAGACCAGGAATCGGCACTGGAACTGAAAGCTAAAGTGTGCTAAAAGCTTTGTGAAAATTCAAAAGCTTCCTGTGCTTTTCCGGTGTGAAAACTAGCCGAGATCCAAAAATGATCTAAGAAAATTGAAGCGATACCAGAAACTTTCGCTAAATTTTTGCCACCAATCTATGGTCGGCTCCGAAACACTTCGATCCAAAAACCTTTCCCCCCTTCCCAGCCGACCCGCATAAATCAGCCCCGTTCGCGAAGAAGAAAGCGGAAAGTCGCGTAGCCAAGGCAGGGCATTCTCTCAAAATAGCCCCCTTTCTCGGCCTCGGCCCCTGAACCCACGCCTTTAATTTGATAAATTGCACCCGCAAGGTGGAGCGCGTCGACGTCGATCACGAGCTTTCAACTGGATTAGATGTGAGAACCGCTACCTATCTGAGCGATAGAATGAGCTATTGGAGTCACTCGGAAGTTCTGAGGCCTTTTGAATAAAGGGAGAGTGACAGGAAACTGCCGTTTTTTGTAAAGCAGTGCTGTCACGTCACGTCACTTCACATCATTATAAAGTCTGGGAAACGTAGATCGTATTGGGAGAGCAGAAAAATTAGCTTGCGCGTCCGTGGGAAGCGCCCACGCGTGCAAATAAACAGGGATCATCTGGGTACATTTTTATGGCGCTGCCGGAGTTGGGCACGAATGAAAAAAAAAGATGAAAAAGTAGAGGCGGATATCAAGCCTTTTTTTTAGAGAAAACGTGGGGGAATTATCGTATTAAACCTATCACTGGGAAAGTAGGACACGTTCAGAAACTTCATAATTGGAAGCTAGCTAAAAAATAGCTCCAATTCTGTGGGGCTTTAAAGTTGCAATTCCTGAAACGACCTATAATTGACTCATTCCGTGAAAATTAGACGATTCTCAAAATTCCATATACTTAAAAATTGAAGAATCGGGTTTTCTAGATTTCGATAGATGATTGAAAAAGTCTAAAAACCAATTTTAAACTATCAACCTTTCCAAAAAATGCTGTTGCAAACCCGTGCAAAATCTAGTTTGTAGCCCAAGCTGTCGGGTTGTTTGTGCGTATGTATCTGCAGGGGCACGAATCTCCAAGACCGATCGCCCAAAATAAGGCCAGCGCTATTGATCGGCACTTGCAGGCATCCGTTTTTTGAGGCCTTCGTGTGTTTTTTCCGTAGCCTATACTTCGCCCCCAATTTTTTGGCCGGCCAGCTAGCACCCCAAAGACAACACAACACTACACTCTAATCGGCCGGCAAAAAGTCGCCCCATTTCGGTGGTTTGGATTTGTTAGTGGTCGGCAATGGTTGTTTCAATAGATTACTTGTTAATTTTTATGTTATATGTATAAAAATAGTGGCTGAAAACACGTAATTACGTGATTAACGCTATCTATATTATTTCAAGCATAAAAGCTCTTTCAAAATCGGCTTCTTTTGCAGTAAATTTCAGTTTTAGCTTTGGTTTTGATCGCCCCTAAAAGCTGGTTTTTGATGATTATATAGTATTAAATATGTGATTATACCCTTTATATAATCACTTTCCAGGATCAATCTATCAAATAAATCGACCCTAAAAGGGCAAGGTCACATTATCCAATGCCTCCGGCATGACATTATGGAAATCGAGCTCTCCGCGCGCATAAATCATCGCCAGGCGGCAGGTGCTTTGTTGTGTCCCCTCTTTAGAGCGCGAGAAAGAAGGGTCAAATGACCCGACTCTGTTCCAACCAAGGGCCCACCCGCCTATTCGGTGTCCCTTTAGCGTACCGAGGTGTTGCCGTAGCGGCAAAGGAATGGGGGGCGCCTTTTGTGACTAACTGCCAGATCATAGGGGGCCGCCGACCAGCAGAGAGTATGCAAATCGTTTGGGATAAAGTGAAGGGTGCCAAATCTGTTTTTATTGGTAGGTACCGGGGGTCAAAATTTGATTGTTTAATCTATGAAAATACTGGCATATAAAATCGTTCCCATGTCAGGAGAACAATTCAAATGAATTTGCAGCTCACTAAGAGATAATTGTAATTAGGTGCATAATGTTCTCGTGATCGGTATTACCACCTTTTTAAAAAAATTATTTTCCTTGGAAATTTCAATTTTTGCGCAAATCGCGCGCCCTTTTTGGTAGAAAGCGGGCTTAAAAGTTCAAACTCTTTTAAAACTTATCAGAAACCTCAACCGAATTCCCCCATTTTTTTGAACCAACGCCCTTGCATCAGCACTCGAAAATTCCTGAAAAAAATTGTCAAAAGCATGAATCATCCCCTGATTACCGAAATTACATGACGCTCAAGTAGCCGATGACTCACCCCACGCCTTAGCTTATTGCCCGCTTTGACTCTCAATGTCCGTGCAACCGTTTAGCTCAATTTCGGGGATCAGCCGCAAAATCAGCCCGATGGGTTGCCGGCCTAGAAAAAGTCCGAAATCGTGTTAGCCGGACTGTCGGCTCGACACTTTTTTATGGGTAACCCGGGCGGACATTCGTCGCGCCGATAATTCAGCCAGGGGGACGGCTAATTGGGACTGATTTCCTGGTTTTTGGGGGAAGGAGAAAAAGTGGTTGTCGCAACAAAAACGATTCGAGTCAGGGGTTGGTGAAAAATAAAGGTTTTTCAAGGATCGCTGTTAATTAGGGTTTGAGGAAAACCAGGAAATTTGGATTCGACAAACCTAATTCTTCGTTATTAACGTTTAATGTAATTTTTCCGTGAGGAAACCCTTTACAGGATGTCCGCAGACGATCGCTACGATCTTGTCATCTATGGGGCCACCGGATTCACCGGCCTTCGCTGCGTGATCTCTTATATTAAATCCCCTTTGTTCCGGGTGGGTATCACGTTTTAATCGTGATTTTCTTATTTTCAGGATCTAACGCTCGCTGTAGCCGGGCGCAGTGAGACGAAGTTGCGCAAAGCTCTCGATGATGTTTCAACGGAAACCGGTAGGTTTTTGAGTACTAGACTAGTATGGGGGAATTAATTATCCAGTAATCCTGTAGTCCTATGCCAAACTATAAAACAATTTATAGCATTTTACGCAGTTTTTGGATATAGAAAGCTCTTTTCGCTTTCTCCGTCCCCCCCCCCTCTGATAACCCCTCCCCCGCTAACAGTCCAGTACCGTTTTTTACTATGGACCTTCTGGAACCAACCAGTAGCCCTATTCCAGAGAACGCGCTCCGCTAAAAATTCTGATTCTCATAAAATTGTTTGCAAATTGGGCGGGTGTGCGGCGGCAGTGATCGGTGGGGGGTGTGGGTGGGTGTGTTTGTATGTATGCATTGGGGCATCGCTGGCAATCTGTGCAAACGCGCTGAAATGGGTCACGTTTACGCGTCGGATCGCACACATCCATTGAAATCGCGGGGGACCTGTATGTAATGGGGGGTTTTATGAAAAAAGTGAATTGTTGTTGTTATAGGGTAACATCGTTAGTATTTTTAGGTTTTTTAGACTTTTTTCACAAGACAAACCCGCAAAATCAAATTTTTGGATTGGAATGCTTTTGCAATTTAAAAAGCTTTTGAAAAAATGACGCCTGACACTTCAATTTCCCGAGAAAACCGGCCCAAAACCTCATTTAAATTCCATTTTTGAAGGTGTAAACACGCGGGACGTGGCAATCATCGTTGCTTCAACAGAAGATGACGCTTCGCTTCACGCCATGGCAAAGAAAGCCCGTGTCATCGTCAATGCTGTTGGCCCAGTACGGATTTGCAAAAAATTCTTTGAAAAGGGGCGAAAAATTTTAGAAGCTTACGGTTTCGCGAGAAGTGTTTTTGGTTTTAAATAAATGTAGGGTTTAATATCAGAATTTTGACGTTAGAACCCCGGAATTCGATTTTTCGAAAATTTGGTTGGTTATTTGGTCTAAAATTCGATTTTCTGGAAATTTCAATATTTCGATAACCAGAAACTCGGACGTCACTTTTAGAAAAAGCCAACATCGTGAGGGCTCGGGACCACACTTTTAGTGATTTTAAAAATAGAGAAGCCGTTTTTGAAATTTAGAAAACTTTAAAACTGGCGAAAACGTGTTTCGACTTCCCTCAATCAACCCAAGTTCAATGAGTCTTTAGATATCTTGTAAACCCTAATTTTATTGTACTTTCCTCGCCCCACCACCAAACTGTTAATCTCTCTGTGCCCGGTTCGCACTATCAGGCCTCCCCACCTCCGTTTTTGCACGGTCAGCAATACCGGTTATCAACGGGTTTTTAGGGGATGCCAGGGCTCCAAGGCGTCTTGTTGACTTTCCACTTTTTTCGGGAATAGCCCCGGCTTATCAGCTTCGAAAGAAGGGTAGTAAAGGCGGATTGTGGGCTTGGCCCTCTGGTCAGCTGACAGCTGGGGAACGCGGGCAAAAAAGTGGGCAAAAGAGGAACTTCTGGGAATGGGCCTCTGGTCCTCGAGTTGCTCGAGGGATCGCCCGAAAAAAAACCAAACAAATGGAAACCCGGGCCAGGCAACGCCAAAAGTTAGGGAGCGCTTTGGGGAGCGCCGAAAATACACGTCAGGAGGCCAAAACACAACCGTACCTATGGGAGAGTCAAGGAACTAGTCAGGAAGTAATGGATATACCTTAAAAACAATCAGCAAATCAGACATTTGAAGGAATTACAGTTACCCGAGTTATGCTCTTAACGAATTGTCATCTGAACACTTTGAACTTGTCGAATTTCGCGTAACCGGAAAATCATTAAATTTTTATTTGCAATTTTTCGGTGATTGAAAAACTAGATTACGGGAAAATTTGATCGAGCGGAAGTGGAGATAAAATGCTTGAAAAGGAAAACTCGTTTTGGTGACAATTTATCTAGCTAACAATTCAGAAAGAGCTAATTTGTCTAATTCATCATAGTATGCCACAAATGGTCGAAAATCAAGGATAGAGAATAAATATAAAATACACTAGAAAACGTTTTTACAGTATCGCCTCCACGGAGAAGCCGTCGTCCGAGCAGCCGTCGAAGAAGGCGCTTCCCATGTCGACATTTCCGGAGAACCAGCTGTACGGCCTTGTACAAAACACTTAATTTCTATATTTTTAGTTTCTGGAGAAGATGCAGCAAAAATACTCCCAACTGGCCAAGGAAAAGGGAGTCTATGTTGTAGGCGCGTGTGGTTGGGATTCTATCCCTGCTGATCTGGGAGTCAATTTTTTGAAGGCAAGGAAGGATAATATTCTTGATAAAATGTTGCTTTAGAAAAACTTCCCCGGAGAACTGAATCACGCAGAGACGTTTGTGCAACTTGTTACCGGCCCAGCGGTGGGTTTGAGCTTGATGGAAGAGCTAATTGAGTTTTTAGGGTTATTCATTCAACGCTGGGACCTATCAAACTCTCGTTTTGGGCATTGCTTCGGTGATGAGTGACGGTCTAGGAAAGGTATTTCATGGTTCTGTATAGATACAGTAACCTTTGTATTTCAAGCGTTCGAGGAGAAAATCTTCAAAACCATCTTATAAAAATTTTTTTGAAAGGTATACTCATGTAATAAGCTAGGAACATTGTAGTTTTAACAATTAGAAATTATGAGCAAAAAAATCACTTTCGGAAGAGTGCTGTCGTTTTTAACTAATTTTATGTAGGTAATACTTCATTTACGAGCCGCCTTAGTCGCTTTCATTTTTTTGCTATAGATTCGCCGCGAGATCATGCCGGAAAAGATTCCGAGGCCTAGTGTGAAGCCGCCGAAGAGGTATGCGTTGCCAAATACAAAAATCATCTTAATTCAGAGGCAAATGCTGGAAGATCAGCGAACCAGAATTACATGGAGGATTCGCCTTGCCGTTTATGGGATCTGACAAGTCTATCGTGCAGCGCACTCAATATTTCCAATATGTCGAAGAAAAGCAGAGACCGGTATGTGACAAATTTAAATCCATATTTGTATGATCTAGAACTATTTATAACCCAGCTCGTAATTTCAGGTTCTCGTTGAAACTTACATCCGAATCGGCTCGTTGTTGTGGGCTGTCTTGCTTGGGCTCTGGGTCGGAGTTTTCGGGCTCTTCTGTATGTGGGCACCGACCAGGAAGCTGCTCCAGAAATACCCTGATATTTGCAGCTTCAACATGTTCAAGGTTACAGCTTTCAATCCGAGCAAAATTTAACTTTATAAAAACTTTAAGTTACTTCAGAATTATTTTATATTACAGAATTCGGGACCTACACGCGAACAGATGGAGCAGGCCGGCTTCATCTATTGGTTTGTGGGGCGCGGATATTCGAAGAAATTGCCGCTCGATCAAGAACACGAGGATAAACCGGATCAAAGGGTGAGTAATAAGATTGTATGATCATTATTATCCCAGCTGTAAAAATTAAGTTAAAATTGCCACTAGTATTAAGGACGCTATGCGCCAATTGCTTGCCAGGCTGGGTTTTCTGCGACACACGTACATTGCAATGTTTTTACAAAAATATTGTTATTTAAAATGGCCGTTTGGGCGACTCTACCGCTTTCTAGAAATGTTTATTTTCAAGTTTCCCACGTGTCTGTATTGTGTACTCCAGCCTTCCAGCCGCCTGGGCAAAAAAGCAAAACTCTGGAGGCGCTTGGGTCCGAACCAAGGTCTTCCTGATGTTGCGCTGATGAGTGGGGGACGTCAGGTGAGAGATCACCTGGTCAGGAACCCCAAACCTGACAACATTAACTTTACTCAACTTCGCAATCAGGCGCTCTACCACTGACAAGGGAAGTGCACGACCGGCCCACGAGAAATCGACACGAGACATAGTCGATCTGATAGAATCGGACACGGGGATTCCGAATCTGCAATCAGAATTTGCTAAATAAAACGGAGAAAAAAGTTATGAAGCTTCAAAGTTGGCCAAATCGCCAAAAACCGTACCTTTAAGGGCCCGTAAAAACCGGTGGAACGGAATTGAGGAGAAAAAAATTAGTGCATCTTGTTCAGCAGAAAAAGCGCTTTCGAATGAGCTGTAATACGTAGCATTTGCAAACAATTCACTGAAAAAAGTTTTTTAGATTCACGGGCAAGGGGCAAGGGCAAGGCCTGTCAAGTTCGTAGAAGAAGATTTTCGCGAAATCATCGTAAACTTGAAGTAAGATAGCTCATTCGAAAGCGCTTTTTCTGCTGAACAAGATGCACTAATGGGTTGTGGCAAATTTCCATTCACTGGGCCTTTACAGGCCCATAAAAGTCCGATTTTGGGCGATTTTGCCAACTTTGAAGCTTCATAACTTTTTTCTCCGTTTTATTTAGCAAATTCTGATTACAGATTCGGAATCCCCGTGTCCGATTCTATCAGAACCACTATGTCTCGTGTCGATTTCTCGTGGGCCGGTCGTGCACTTCCCTTGTGAGCTTCGCCCCCGGGGGAGAGGGGGCCTCGAGAGAGGTTGATAGCCATAGCCGCACTAATAGACCACACAGCCGGCACCCCATGCTGCCACAGGCACCCATTCCCGGAGCCCCTGTGGCTCAGTAGGTAGCGGCGGCGACTCTCGTTCTCTGGGTCGGGCGTTCGACACCGGTCCGAAAGAATTATTTTTGCTTTTTGGCTCATTGGCTAGGCATTGTTTTTGCTGACTAGGAATAGTAGTAGAAGGCGTCGTAGGCGCAAAATTTTCATAAATAACGTCGTTATTCTAACAAAAAGACTACAAGCTCCTAGGTCTAGAGGTCTAGAGGTCAAGACTATAAGCTCCCAAGAGGATCGTATCTGAAAAAGGGTTGTTTTCCTTTAAGCTGTTCAAGAAAAAAGAGTATAATATAATCTACCCAAAACAATATAATTTTTTATGCGCTGTCGATGATAGACACCGTTTTCTATTGCCTATTCATTGTCGTCATTTCAGGTAAAAATCACGATTTTAAGATATCGTCGAGGATAATAAACCGATTATCTACATTTTTCATGCTTTTTCGAATGGCTACAATGGCCTTCTTTGGACATAGGCACCAAGCGAGAGCACCGCCACCCAAGCGCCTCCAGAGTTTTGCTTTTTGCCTAGGCGGCCGGAAGGCTGGAGTGCACAATACAGACACGTGGAAAACTTGAAAGTAAGCATTTCTAGAAAGTGGTAGAATCGTCCAAATGGCCATTTTAAATAACAATATTTTTGTAAAAACATTGCAAAGTACATGTGGCGCAGAAAAACCAGACTGGCAATCAATTGGCGCATAGCGTCCTTAATAGTAGTATTGCCAATTCCAGTTGGTCGTCACCTGCCGTGGACCAGACGCCGGCTACATTGCTACCTCCGGTTGCGTGATGTCCGCAGCGTTGGCATTGTTGAAGGACAAGGAGCAGCTCCCGAAGAAGTATTTTCACTTTATTTTTGGATTAATTATCACCTTTTAGCGGTGGCGTCTACACGACGGCCTCTGCTTTCGCGCACACCCGCATCTACGAATACCTGGAGTCGTTCAATGTCAAGTTCCGTGTTGAGGGAAACGGTGCAAAGATTTAAACTGGATTGACTCTCTGCTTTTTTCGTTATTTGGTAACAATAAACAGTTTTGAAAGCACCTTGCATCTCAATTTAAGGTAGTATTTTTATAAAGGGATGCCCTGATCAAAAGCCACGGAAAATCGTATAGTAATGTGAAAAGTACGTTTTTATATACTATCTCTATTCGCGGCAGGCGTCCCCGCTCTTTCTCTCTATTGCTCTCTCCCTGTCCCCCTCTATATCTCTCTCTCCTGCGCTCTCACTCTCTCTCTCTCTCGCTGTCTCTCTCGCTCTCACTCTTTCACCCACCCTCTATCGCACGCTCACGCTCCCTCACTCTCTCGCCCCTTCTCTCTCACGCTCTCTCTCACGCTCTCTCTCTCTCTCTCTCTCGCCCACTCCCTATCTATCTATCTCTCTTAACTTTCCGATCCAAAACCAACTCCATCTACTCATCCATGTCAAGGAATCGGTTCGGGTGTTCCTTGGAATCCGAACGCCCATCCCTAATTAGAGCCCAAATTGGGTAAGGCTGGCTGGGTCTCGATTTGCATATCCTCCCCTCTCAGTGGCTGCCCTGGGTCCTAATGGAGAGACGTGTCTTCGGCTGCGTGATTGCACCAAATGCCTCTTGGGCCTTCCTTTCCACAGATCCGTTCTATTCACTCCACGGCACGCAATCTGGTTCACTCGAAACTTTGCTGGGTCTTGAATTGAACGCAAATTTCACGGTAGCCAGTTCGGGTGCTACGTGTGCGATGCTACTAGAGGCTAACAAGGAGACGTTTTTAGGTGGGCACGGAGTTTCGTAACGAGACCTAGCTCATTCGAAAGAGCTTGAAAAACTGAGCAAGTACCCGTTTTCCATTTCTGCGAAACGATAGCGATTGATTTTTAATAATTAAATTAAAGAATTAGCATAAATTGGTGTGATTCCCCTCGCGCGGAGCGATTTCCTTCAAGATATCCCCTCTGTCGGAAAGCCAGGCCCCGTCTTCCCTTCCCCATAGCGATTTGGCGCAGTCGGTACGGCGTTTGCCTCTCACGAAATTTTTTTGGACTGTTGTCAGTTCGACCCCTGAGCTTAGAATTCGTTTTGCTTTTTAATTCCTGAACACTTTCTAAACGTAGAATCTAGTCCAAAATTATTTTTTTTTGTGGTATGCCCCAAACCGGTAGCGTTGCACTCGCGTCTCCGCGATTGAAATCAACTGGCCCGCTTGGGCCTACACCGATGCTGTTCAGAACATATATGTAACGCATTGCGATAATTAAATTACAATAAATAATAAATTCAGCCTCCTAAAATAAAAAGCAAAACGAATTCTGGGCTCAGGGGTCGAACTGCCAAAAGGTCCAAAAAAATTTCGTGAGAGGCGAACGCCGTACCGATTGCGCCAAATCGCTATGGGGAGGGGGAGACGGGGCCTGGCTTTCCGACAGAGGGGATATCTTGAAGGAAATCGCTCCGCGCGAGGGGAATCATGCCAATTCTCCTAATTCTTTAATTTAATTATTAAAAATCAATCGCTATCGTTTCGCAGAAATGTAAAACGGGACCTTGCTCAGTTTTTCAAGCTCTTCCGAATGAGCTAGGTCTCGTTACGAAACTCCGTGCCCACCTAAAAACGTCTCCTTGTAAGCTAAAGCCGCTTGGCTTTTTACCTAGGCTTAGGCTAAACTTATTTTTGAGGCTAATGCTTCGCTTAAGTCCATTCTGAAGCTTGAGCCCGAGCCCGGCTTTGGCTTTACGCTGCGAGCTAGAACTTGCGTTGTATAGGGCCTAGCTTATGTTGTTCTAAAACCAGCTAAAATTTAACGCAAGCTAACCCTGGACTCCGTCTGGATAGGCTTCGACTTAGTGCTATTTTTAGATAGACTACGGTCTAGAAAAGCGTAGTTTCGAGCGTGGTTTGGTTTGAAGCCCGGACCACCGCTTTCCTATCCGTATTAGCAACGAATTTGTTCTAAAATAAATTACTTGGCGAATTTAAATCATCCTAATCTACTTAATTCCAGTTAATAAAAGCATTTAATAATTTCAGTTATATTAATGAGAGTTTCTGATTCACAACGTTGCGCTTATGCTCTGCTGAACTGATTGGTGATGTCGGGAACGAGTTTTTTTCGTGCTGTCGAACACTTTCGAGGGTTGTGTGGCTGTTTTATGTGGCAACTGTTCGACCAGGGACACCAATCCGTTTTTCCTGGGGGCCCCCTCTTCTCCGCGAACGTTTTTTCGGCAATTATCGTCAAGAGCCAGCGGGCAAATCCAAACGCTGCTCACCGAAAGTGATGGGTTTTTGTTTTTTGGGGCGTGTACGGGTGTTTTTTTTTTACGTTTTGGGTTTTTGCTTTACATGTTAGTGGTATTTCTAAAAGTTGATAAATTTACTACATTCTGGACGCTCGATCGAATGTCATGCTCAAAATATCAAAAAGAACGAAATTGCACAAAATATAATCGATTTTTTGACCAATATTTTATGCAATCAAACTTTTAATTTACAATATTTTTATATCAACCCAACCGTAATCGTTGTCGCGAATTGGCTCGAATGTGCAGAGGCAGCCTGCGGGGAGAAGCACCAAAATTGCACCCCTGCACCCCTAATTTGCCCCTCGGCCCCCCACCACACACAGACACGCACAAATGGCGCTGGAGTCAAGAAAACACGGATGCGTCAGTTGTTGTACGGATCCTATTTCTTTTGCTCAAGGTGCCAATTTTAGCAGCAGCTTCTCTAGAAAGGGCAGATTCTCTCGGAAGCGCACCTATTGTTGGCTAACAGTCTTTGGGTTGGGTTTTTAGTTTTTTAGTTGTTTTTAGGTAATAAAGGTGTTTTGCAGTGTGGTAGCTCACTTGATAAAATCCAAGTAATCATACCGGTGCCAATACGCCGAAAATTCGAGTTGAAAGACCTAATTTGCCTCATTTTGCCGCCACTTAAGAAAATATAGGCCTTAAAAACTTTTCAACGCGCCTATTATAGCTCAGCAAATTCGAAAAATGAGGCTTATTCAGAAATTACGGCTCCAACGAATGAGCTATTTTGCATTGAAAAGCTCACATTGTACCTAGAAGCGATTCCTTATTAAATTAAATTGATATTAACATTTTCAAAATTTTTAGAAAATTTTTGCAACCCCCTGGTCTGCTCCAACCTTGAAATTTATCTCCTAATATGGACGCGGAGAAAATCATGGTCCCGTAATGCATCGGAATTGTGGTGGTGTCCCCATTTATGGGGGGACTGATGGCGAACCGAAGTGACAGGGCTATATGCGCCCTCTCCTCATCGTCGGCAGAAAACGAACCCCCTTATTATAGGAATTTACCGGGAGTGGATGGAATTGTGGATTTATATTAGCTAACTGGAAGATCGGAAAAATGTTTTCTTTTAATAAGATTGTCTTACTGTTCCTGATGAAGTTCGAATCGCGATGATTTTTATAACGTTAGAAACCACTCGGAAAATCGAGAAACCCAGCGCTCTTAATTTTCTAAAACTAGTTATATTATACAGTAATTTTCAATTTTTTTACTCGATTTTAATAATTTCTGAAAAACCCTATAGTTCTCAGATTTGATCAGAAATTGGCAATTAAAAATCGTCATTTTTGTTTTTTTGAGCGTAAAAATTGTGACTGATTTCAAGAGATTTTAAAGATGAAATACCCAGCAAAATCGGCCATTTCTTCGAGCCGTAGTCTGCACAGGTTTTTGGAAGCACATGCTCTCGAGCTTTGACATCCGCTTTATCAAAGAAACTTTCTTCTACATCCCGGCCGGCTTTACTAAATCGACCACATGCACCATATTAATTCCTTACACAAATTATGATGGGCAATCGAGTGCCCCTGGCCCCAAGGGGGGCCACTCGAGAGCACATGTTCACAAAAAGACACCGAGAAATGGAGGGCCCTCCCCGTTGAGTGTAAAACCCTGCTGGGGAGCATGAGCCTCATCCCAACTATCCCAAACCAATAGGTGCTAATCCTTTCTTGCCTCTTGGTCTCTCGTCAAAATGGCCCAAATACTTGGCTGGGCCCCAAAGGCAGGGATTGGCTCCCCTACCATGGAGCTCCCATCCGTCTTCCTCTCGCAATTATCCACCCTTCGCCTGACGCTATCCACCCCATCGTCTCGCCGGCTCAGTCTTCACCACTTCTTCAGTCTATACTACTTTAGTATAACTTTAATTTGTTAGGGTGATACTAGGGTTGAAACACTCCTCCTTCTTTTTAAATCTTGGTCGATTCTAGGGATGTTATAACATGCAATTCGCAGGTACACTTTACGGTATACCGGATCCAACTTCCGGTGACAAACTGACCAGCCATTTTTTTCATAAAAACTAAATTATTATACGGAAAATTTTTGATTTTTCGCTTTTTATATTTCTGAAACCCGGCTTTTCGGCTTTTCAACCCTGATCAATTTTCGCACGAAAAGCTGATCAGAAATTTGCATATCTATCGCTGGAAAAAAAGCTAAAACAGACTTTTCGTCCCTTCAAATACAGATTTATATAGTTTTCTATCAAAAAACTGATTTTTTTTTTTGGAAATATTTGCTATGAAATATTATCACATGTTTTCTACGTCGCACACCTAATTTCGAATTTTTCGTAATTTGTACTAATATCTTATATATTCCGAACGGCTCCGTTCGTCGCCCTGTTTCCAATGGCACTCCAGTACTCTCTAATTTACTCAAGTGAAATGTGACTCACAGATTTCTATGCATAGCCCGCCCGCACCACAGCAGGATTTCACCACCTCCCCAGCTTTCCACAAACCCAACCAATGGATTCAGAGAATTAACCAAAAATCCACCTGATGAATACGCGCAACGCTCGTTTACCATGGCCCTAGAAGGCAATAAACGTTGAGAAAGCCATCACCATCATCCCACCCCCCTACAGCACTTCTTCCGGCCCATTTCCGACTGTTGATCCTAGTGCAATGCCGGACATTTCGCGACGAGACCCTTCAGCCCCCCCTCCCCGCTA